AGTGAGCAGCCTTTATTTACAATATATCTGGTATAGACATTTGGGTTCGGTATTAAATTAAAATACAATTTCAAATACCTTCTAACAAATATTTTTATTATTTTAAGAAGTGGAAGTTCATGGATAGTAGCAATATTATTTTTTTTCCTTTTTTTTCCAGGCTAAAACCCATGTCCTTGACATAGAACAGCGGTTGCAAGGAGTAATTAAGACTAGGAACAGAATAAAAGGATTGCCTTTATCTATTGAAGGACATGTCCATTACCTCATTCAAGAAGCAAGTGATGACAACCTGCTCTGCCAGATGTACATGGGCTGGGCTCCGTATATGTGAGATTTGTTCCCTTTGGAACAACACCATTCACGAGGGATGCAGCTGTAATATTGTTGGGAAGGTCTGATCAGTGAGACCTGGTTGCTTCTGCTGATTTCTGTGAGCAGCAGAGCAGTCTTGTGGTCGTCTGAAATCTGTGTAAAATACACAACGCTCTTGCAAGGATGACATGAATGCACTGACAGGTGTGTAAAGTGTTAGGACTTACGGTTTGGAGACTGCAGAAGGCAGCACAAAAGAAGGGCTTAAAAACTAGACTGCAAATCTCCTGCAAGTGTCTTATTCTGTCTATATAAAAGTTTTTCACAATGTTGAAGGATGCACTCTATAAAGTACTGTATATTTTTGTAAAGATTTTTTTTTTCTCATTCAGCTTACTTGTAGATTAGAAAATATGACATTAAAGTTTAATACTGATATGAGGTAAGGTGGTTCTTTGAGCTTTTTCTGCTCATATTCACAAGGGCTTTGTAAAAATAATTAGCATTTCTTTCCAGCAGTAGACCTTGAATTTTGATTTTGTTTCTCTAGGCATGTAGGGAAATGTGGGGGGAGATAGGGAAAAATTATACTCTTTTACCCTACGTAGGCTATTGTTAGAATTTTTGTACAGTATTGTTTCTGCTGTTCTGAGAGAGTTCTATCGGGTTTTGATCACAGGCTCTTGCTGTGGAGTGAGACTCCAGTTTCAGTTCTGTTCAGCTGCAGTCCAGAGACTCGGGAGAGTAAACGTAAATAATGGGTTTGCAGCTGGTTAGAGGGGGTTGGTTGGTTTGTCTGTGAATCTAGCGGGTGGCCTTTTAAACGTTGTTGCTGTTCCGTAAACGTGAAGATTTTTCAGCGTAAAATCTCTGGAACATACTCCGGCCTTTTCTGGTGTGGTGCGTGCGTGCTTGGGGTTCTGTCACTTTTCCCAGGTTTTATCGGCTTATCGGAGCGCACAGACCTGCCCGGGGAGCTGCCAGCAGGGCCCCGCTGAGGGGCCGCGGAGGGAGCCGGGGCAGGTTCGGTGTGAGGGGCGGGTGGGTTCGGTGTG